AGTCCACAGGCACTTACATCGACGAGGTTCCCGCTCCTGGGGCGAACATCGTCAGTGGCATGTGGATTTTCAGGGTGAAGCGGCCGCCAGGTTCTCCGCCTGTCTTCAAGGCTCGTTACGTTGCTCGAGGCTTCAGTCAGCGGGAGGGAGTCGACTTCTTCCAGACCTTCTCCCCCACCCCGAAGATGACCACTCTTCGGGTACTGCTGCACGTCGCCGCTCAGCGTGACTACGAGCTTCACTCTCTTGACTTCAGCACAGCGTTCTTACAGGGCAGCCTGCACGAGGAGATCTGGCTGCGCCGCCCTCCTGGCTTCACTGGGTCGTTCCCTCCTGGTACCCAGTGGAGCCTCCGGCGGCCGGTCTACGGTCTCCGCCAGGCGCCACGTGAGTGGCACGACACACTGAGGACGACACTTGCTGCTCTTGGGTTTGCTCCGTCGACTGCTGACCCGTCGCTGTTTCTACGCACCGACACTTCGCTGCCGCCGTTCTACATCCTCGTGTACGTCGACGACTTGGTCTTTGCCACTGCTGACACTGAGGCTCTCGCCCTGGTGAAGTCGGAGCTGCAGAAGAGACACACGTGCACAGACCTGGGTGAGCTGCACAGTTACCTTGGCTTGCAGATCACCTGGGACAGAGCACGCCGCACCATCACACTGACGCAGTCACACATGGTGCAGCAGGTCCTTCAGCGCTTCGGCTTCACCTGGTCCTCGCCACAGCACACTCCTCTGGCTACAGGTCACTCGCTCTCAGCTCCACCTTCCGACGAGTCCGTAGAGCCGAGTGGTCCTTACCCAGAGCTAGTGGGCTGCCTCATGTACCTGATAACCTGCACTCGTCCTGACCTTGCGTACCCTCTTGGCCTTCTGGCTCGCTACGTGGCTCCTGGTCGGCACCGAAAGGTGCACATGGATGCTGCTAAGAGGGTACTACGCTACTTGTGCAGTACATCGGGCATGGGGCTCGTGCTTGGAAGGCGGAGCCCAGTTGTCCTCACTGGGCACTCAGACGCTTCTTGGGTTGACGACCAGGCTACGCAGCGGTCGTCACAGGGTTACACCTTCAGCCTTGGCTCTGGCTCTGTTTCTTGGCGTTCTACACGCTCGTCTTCAGTTCTCAGCTCCAGTTGTGAGGCTGAGATCTACGCCACAGCCATGGCTGCACAGGAGTTACGCTGGCTCACCTACCTGCTGACCGACCTGGGAGAGCGGCCTCGTTCTCCTCCAGTGCTGTACGTCGACAACAAGGCCGCCATTGCCTTGTGTGAGGAGCACAGACTGGAGCACAGAACGAAGCACATCGCTCTGCGTTACTTCCTGGCTCGAGAGTTGCAGCAGCGTGGTCAGCTTCGTCTTGCTCGCGTGGCCACTCGGGCCAACACTGCTGATATATTCACCAAGGCACTTCCGTCTGGTGATCATCAGCGTTTCTGCACTTTGTTGGGGCTTGTGCCCACTTTTCCTCACTTGCTGTAGACTCTGCTTGTACTGTGATCTATATATATACCTGCATGCTTGCTCTGCTAGGTAGAGATCACTGTGCTGTTGTTGTTGCATATATACATCTGCATGTGAACTGGCCTTGTGGCCCTTTCCTTGTGCTCAGCGTGTGTGGTGACGTTGTGATCCACCCTGAGCTTGCTTTGCTCCTCTTGACTGGTCTTGTGACCCCTTGCTCTCCCCCACTTTGCCTATGGGGGTGTGTCAAATGATATATCTGCTATATATGTTTAGGCTGTAGTGGGGTAGCCAATATGGGGTACAGCCCCTTTTAGGGTTTCATATTTGTACCCAACTCTTTCATAGTTCAATCATTCCTGCTGCTAGATTCTAACTATTTTCTCTTGCTAGGTTGTGCTCAGTGTACTGCCTTGCTATTATATACCTCTGCATGTGAACTGGCCTTGTGGCCACTTGCTTGTGCTCAGAATGCGTGGTGACTTTGTGATCCACCCTGAGCTGTGTTCTCTTCTGCAGACTGGTCTTGTGACCGCTTGTGTTTGCTGTCCCCTACTTTGCCTATGGGGGTGTGTCAAATTACAATTGTATCTCTAGGCTACAGTAGGGTCACTCCTTAGTGAGTACAACACTTTAGGGTTAGGTCTCTCCTACTTGTACTCACCTCTTGCCTAGTTCACTCATCCATTCCTAGTTCTATTCTTGACAATTTCAACTACTCTTTCACATAAGGCCAACATCTTCATGTCACTCTTTCAATCAGTGTAAATTTTAGAACCACTCTTGAAAATCAGGGTTCAGTTCTTTTTAAGTCTTACTTGAAGCAGACAAGTTGCTTTGGAAGCACTGTATGGTGTGCAGTTGGTAGAAAATCACGATTTACATGAGCCATGCGGGATCCGATACTTGCCGTAGGCTCATGTAACCCTCGGTTACCGACCTTTTCGAGAAGGATTCTACCGAACTCGGTAAGAACAAACTCAATCCTATCAGTGTAACTGCAAGGAGTTAGAGAGAAGTGTCATAATGTGATGTTTGTGTAGCCTGCAGTGGGGTACTCTATAGCGAGTACAGCCCGAATTAGGGTTTGCTATATGTACTCAACTGCATGCTAGTGAAAACCCCTCTTTCCTGTTTATCGTTTTAGCCTGTTGTTTCGACATGCTATCAGAGCGAAGGTCTCGGGTTCGAATCCCAGTGTGTGCACTTCGGGCATCCCAGTGCGGGGGGGTGTCAGAGGTCCACTGGTGATCCTCGATTGATCGTAGGGAAGGTTTACAGGCATGCTGGCCTGGAGGGTTATGGGCGCACTGACTCGCTACTTAACAAGCCCTTTTATCCCAATGGTCTAGTGGTTGGGATTCTGACATGCTATCAGAGCAGGTCGACCCTTCTGGGTCGATCGTGTGGGTGGGCCCCACCCGATGCTTCCGCTGCTCTACTGCCTGTAGCGCGCCCCGGGCGCGTGCTGTTTCCTGCCTGCCGCGCGCTCCGGGCGCGCAGCGATTTTTTCTTCCCGCCGCGCGCTCGGGGCGCGCGGCAGTTTTCTGCCCCGTCGAACCGCGCGTCGCCCCCTGTCGACCGTCGCGTCGCCCCCCGTCGCCCGACGCGGCCCGCGCGACCTGCGCCAGGCCCGCGCGCGGCCCGTACGGGCTGCGCCAGGCCCGCGCACGACCCGTATGGGCTGCGCCAGGCCCGCGCGGGGCCCGTACAGCCCGCGCGCGGCCCGTACGGGCTGCGCCAGGCCCGCGCGCGGCCCGTACAGCCCGCGCGCGGCCCGTACGGGCTGCGCCAGGCCCGCGCGCGACCCGTACGGGCTGCGCCAGGCCCGCGCGCGGCCCGGGTAGCCCGCGTGCGGTTCGTCCCGAGCTTCTGACCGCGCCCCACCCCCGCTGCTGCCCGCGCTCCTGTGTTAGGGTTTGGGGGTGGAGAGTATGGGGGTGCCGGGTGTGTGAGCCGTCCCCTGCTCCTCCTCCTCCTCCGTCTCCCACTGCTGCAGCTGCCGCTGAGGGGGGTGGATGTGTTGGAGCCGTCGGAGTGGTACGAGGGGGGTGGTGTGTGAGCAGTGCTAGAGGTGCAGCAGGGAGTGTGTGAAAAGGGTGTGGGACAGCTGGGGGAAGTTGTGTGGAGGCAGTCGGCTTGTCGTCCGCAGCGCCTGAAGTCCAGAGAGCCACGACCCCCTGTGGCCGTGTAGTCCGGGGCTCTGCGCCCGGTAGCGACAGTGTGAGCACTCCTGGTATCCAGAGAGCCACGACCCCCTGTGGCCGTGTAGTCCGGGGCTCTGCGCCCGGTAGCCACAGTGTGAGCACTCCTAGGAGCACAGCGAGCCAGCTGCGCCTGTCGCCGTGTAGTCCGGGTTTAGCCTGGTAGTGACAGTGCTGCGCACTCCTGTTGCCCGTGTGTCTGCAGCTTCAGCCGTCGTCTCGCATCTTCTCGCCCCCACAGTTTCTCCTCCTCCTCACTTGCCCTCTGTGATAGCCTCTAGCTTTGCTTATAATTGTGAACTACTGCTCTGTCTGCTTGTTGTGTTGATTGTACCCCACTTTGACTATGGGGGTGTGTCAGAATGTGATGTTTGTATAGCCTGCAGTGGGGTACTCTATAGCGAGTACAGCCCGAATTAGGGTTTGCTATATGTACTCAACTGCATGCTAGTGAAAACCCCTCTTTCCTGTTTATCGGTTTAGCCTGCTGTTTCGACATGCTATCAGAGCGAAGGTCTCAGGTTCGAATCCCAGTGTGTGCACTTCGGGCATCCCAGTGCGGGGGGGTGTCAGAGGTCCACTGGTGATCCCCGATTGATCCTAGGGAAGGGTTACAGGCATGTTGGCCTGGGGGGTTATGGGCGCACTGACTCGCTACTTAACAAGCCCTTTTATCCCAATGGTCTAGTGGTTGGGATTCTGACAAGAAGCACTTTGAAATATCAGTGTTACGAAACTAAGTACTTTTTCTCGTAAGGGTCAAATACAGAACCACTCTCACAAAAAAGGGTGCATAAGCAATCCCAGCCTTATAGTAAGTGTCATAAGGGTAGATCACCCTTATATCCAGAGGCCTGGACCCGGGTACATTATTATGGGGGGGTCTTTTATCCGGGGGAATACGGTACTCTTGCAAGGTTGTGATAACTGTACTGCTTGTGCTTTTATAACTCTGCATGTGAACTGGACTTGTGGCCGCTTGCTTGTGCTCAGAATGAGTGGTGATCTTGTGATCCACCCTGTGATTTGCATTGCTTTGTTCTCTTGCTTGACTGGTCTTGTGACCGTTTGTTGTGTTGGCTATCCCTCACTTTGCCTAGCGGGGTGTGTCAAAACATATTTGTATGTTTTTTGTTCTGCTAGGCTACAGTGAGGTGCTCAGTATAGAGTACAACCCCAGTTAGGGTATCATAATTGTATCTCCCTGATGCTAGTCATTCATCATTCCTGCAGAGTTCTCTTCTCTCGACACAAAATTTAGGCAATCACATCACATGCAACTAGAGGCTGCAACAGGCGTGACTGAAGCAGGTGTAAACAATTGTAGCTGTCAATATCTTGGCTTGCTTCTCCTTTCCCTGCACATAAAAAAAATACACCACAGATTTGTAGAACAGCAGCACAAAATGAAGACAATCAAAGGTGGGGTATTCTCAGCCTATCATCCCAATCAGCTCATACTCCCAACCCCTCAGACGAACCCCCTTCTCCTTCCTCCCCTCCTCTTCTTCCCTCCCCCTCCGCCCTTCTCACGCTCTTGCAGGATCTGAATTAGGGGGGGTGAGAGGAGGTATGCGGGTGGGCAGGAGGTTATGAGGGGTGGGCAGGAGGTTATGACGGGTGGACCACGAGACATCATGAGTGAGGAGCTGTCGTTGACCACCCTCTCACGCTCCTGCACAATCTGACTGCCTTCCCAAACACTCACCTTCTCCCACCCTGCTTTCCCCGTGGTCCCGTGGTGAAGGCCCAGTTGACAGCGATGGGTTGCGTGAGCAGCTCTGCACCGTTGAGGCTCTCAATGGCCGCCGCTGCCTCCTGCCTGCTCTCGTACTCCACCAGTGCATAGCCCTGGGGGTGGTGCGTGTTGGGAGGGGGGGTGAGGGTGGAGGGACGAGGGAAGAGGGATGATGGGATAGGAGGGAGAGGGGAAGAGAGAATGGTCGAAAGGAAGGGCAGGGATGAAGAAAGGAAGTGCGGGAGGTGGAGAGGAATAGCGCGAAAGCGAGGCAGCCAAGAAAGGGAGGGTGGGGCGGGAGGGGGGGACGGATGGGGGAATTGGCTCAACGGCAGAACAAGTGAAAGGTTGGAACGAAACTGCGTCGACGGGTAAGGGAGAAAATTGAATGGGACAAGAACACGATCAAACCCAGTGCGGGGCTTACCTTGACAAACCCTGTGCGTCGATCGAGGTTAAGATGGAGGTTCTTGATCTCTCCAAACTCTGCAAACATCTCATGCACGTCGTCCTCCTGTGCCTCCTCATGCACCCCCGTTACAAGCACAATCCACCCCTCCACAGCTGCACACAAACAACGCAAGGGGACGGTGGACGATGAATATCAAGAACAACTCCCACAAGCCTACCTTGCGTTTCCATTCCCTTTCAGCTTGTTATCACGGTTGCGCTACTCGTCTGTACTGTGTCCACCATATGCACCCTCCTTAACAGAACCCATCCCTCCCCTTCCCCTCCCCCTCCCCATGTTCCTCCCCATCCCATCCCCTAGCCTTCTACCCTTCCCCCTTTTCCCCATCCCCCCCACCCTCCCTTTCCCCCGCCGCCCGTATGACGCACATCGCTGAGGCCCCGGTCCGCCAGAAGCATCGAGCGACTCGAACGCACGTCCCCCCACGCGGTCGCCGCCGTCGCGCTCCACGTCCATGGCCTCGCGGAACCCACGCCCCTTCGTCCGCCGCGCCTCCGCCGCCGCTGCTGATGCCGCCGCTGCCGCGGCCGCTGTTCCGCCAGCAATCGTGGATCTGCGATTTTATGGGGAAGGACGCGGGTGGAGAGAGATGGAGCGGAGGGAGGGAAATGGAGCGGGACGGGGGGTCGTGGTCATCGCATCCTGCTTCCGCGCTAAGCCTGCATGTGTCAAGCGCGGCGGAGCAGAACGCGGGATGCGTATAAAGTAGGTTCGGAGGGAGCAGACTGGCGCTGCGCGATATTTCAAATCGCTGGCTCTCGTATGGCAGGGTTACCACGCGGTCAGTTTACAGTGACTGCCAGGTAAGGAAATAATTTGCTGGGTCTATGCTCAACCTTAGCTTAGGCGCAGGTGCAGCAGCGGTGACCGGAGCGGGTCCAGCGTCGTCCTCTTCCATGGCGAGCTCGAGATCGTCATCGCCGTAGTCTACCTGGTCCACGTCAGCATGCGCCATAATGAACTAGACGTCGGATCCGCGCACACACAGATGTCAACGCTTGGCGAATCGTAGTCGGAACTGTGACCTAGGCTCGTGGCTGGTAGAGTTGCGTGTGGGAGTGCAAGAAGCGAGTGACGAAGACCAATAATTGGAACAGAACTAAGTTGCCCGAAGGACGCGTTACAAATGCCTCATCAGAGGAGGGTCGGGACCACACACCGAACCTGACTTCAATTTGCATCTTGGCAGTCACACCGAGCCACATGGGACACATTGGAATTGGGGTTCGGGACTACACATACCGACGCTAGCGCGTCGCATTGCTTCGCCCGCGAGTCGTGCAGTAGCGTTATTCTCGACGAAGCGCACATCTGATGTATATTTGTCGCTCAGTTACCCGATACGAAATTAGCCGACATGTGGCTGTACATCTCCACATCGATCCCTCAGAGGTTCGGTGAGACATTTGTTACGCGTCCTACATTAGATGGTCAGAGGCGAGGTCGCAGCAGATTTTGGACCTGCGCTATTGTGTTCTTCGTCAAATGCTCAGATCTCAAGGTTTTCTAATCCTTTAGATCCTCTCCAAAATAATATCAAGCTAGAATCAAATCCACAATGAAGAGAATTGTCATGGTGCAGCATAATTATGTACCGAATATTATTGCGTGCACCACAATTTACTGTTGTTTCTAGATTTATCTCGCGTGATCTAGCGTACGCTTGATTATCACCGAATGACACTACCGAATTCGGGAAGGTTATGTCCCCTTTGGCTCTAGGGCCTCAGTACCTTCTAGTAACACCAGCGGTACCTGCCTTGTGTCATGCATATATATAGAAAAGACCTTAACTGAACTGAATTCTCGATCCTCACAATAGTGGACCGGTTAGTGCATCAATTTATGTGCTATAAACTGGATATAGAGAGTCTTGACGCCATCTACAATCAGGAATTTGAAACACTCGGTTTCATAAAGAGTTGACGAGGTGAGAGTAGTTTGAGTGGACAAACCTAGCCAGTTGCCCGGTAGCAAAGGCTGCGTCCTGTCGGGTGTTTTCCTCCGCATACATGAGACTACCCACCAGCGAGTGAACGGTGCCCTTCAGTGTGCCCAAAGTTTGCAGCCAATGCCTCCAGGTACTTCCGTTGATGCACTCGCATCCGCTGCTTCTCCACATCTCGTTCGATGTGAAGCCTGAGGTTGCTCACATCACCGAGTGCCTTATGCCATTATTCTTCAGCCACATGGAGAAGTCCTTGCTCAGGAACTCTCCCCCCTAATCAGTGCAGATTGGCTTCACTAGCCGGTCTTGTTGCCGCTCCGCCATTGGCAACCAATCGGTATTAATTGTTTCAGCTACGTTGCTCTATTTGGACAGCACATACACCCTAGTCATGCGGAGAGTCACTCTACAACGGGTGGTGAACAACGTTGGAAGTCATAGGTTGTACGGGGTGATTGGAGCGCTGCTTATGTTCTCACTACTTGTTGTGTGCGTAGGTAAATATGGCAAGAGTTTCACTAAGAAAAATGAACAGCAAGAGTACAATGGCATGGGAAAGTCGATATAGCCGGAACACAATGCAACACACTTAGCAACCTAGCCTAGCAAGGCAACTTCGAGCGCAGCACGAAGGCGGCTTGCCAACGCATAAAGCCATCGTGCGCAACTAGAAGGCGGCATGCCAACGCTAAAGCAAGGCGGCTTGCCAGCGTTACACCAAGTCGCCCTGCCCGCACGCCACGAGCGGATCTTCCTGAGGCGGCCTCCTGGGTTCCATGCTGCTTTCCCTGCGGACACGGTGTGGCAGCTGCATCGCCCGGTCTATGGCTTGAAGCACGCACCACGAGAGTGGCACGCCAAACTGCCTGCCACTCTGCAGTCCCTTGGCTTCTCGGCTTCTCACGCTGACGCCAATCTCTTTATGCGCTCATAACATCGTCGTTTCCTTGTTCTGGTTTATGTCGACGATATGATCCTACTTGCCTACTCCAAGGCCAACATGGAGCAGATGAAACGGGCGCGGTAGGAGCGCCTCAAGTGCAAGGATCTTGGCGACCTGCAGCACTACCTGGGAATGGCCATCATGCGCTGTCGGTCTGCTCGCACCAAGATGGAGAAGTTCTCCTAGTCCTTCTATCTCGGCCAGGTCTTGGAGAAGTTCGAGATGGAGTAGGCCAAGCCCATATCCACCCCGCTTCCCTTCGGCTACCAGCTCACCCCACCCCTCTCTCCTTCCTCCTCCTCTCACCCCTATGCCGAGCTCGTCGGGTCGCTGATGTACGCCATGATGTGCACCCGCCCCAAGTGATGCCAACCCAACCCCATGGGCCGTTGGTTGGCTCACATCCCGAAGTGATGCCAACCCATCCCAATGGGCCGTTGGTTGGCTCACATCCCCAAGTGATGTCAACCCAACCCAATGGGCCATTGGTTCGCTCACTTCCTCAAGTGATGCCTCCCCCCCTTTCCCTTCCAAATCTCTCTTGCAACATATGTATGCTCCTTTCTCTGACTAATAAAACTAATGCTTCAATTTATTTTTCACAGAATGCACCACACGCAATACCCCACATGCTCTCTCTGTACTCCCCCTCCGTAACTGCCTTGTGGTTCTCCTCACTCTTTCGTTGTTGTTTGGGTGTTGCACCACTCTCCTCGTGATCACACAGACCCCACCAAGATTGCTCCATTTTAACGCCTTCTCCTTGGTGCCTTTGCTCACGTCGTCGCCGCTAATAGCTGCTTCACCCTTGGTGCTGATATTGCTGCACTTGGCTCTCCTTAGGCATTGGGACCATAGGGACCTTACAGATCTCATTGTTGATATCCCTGTCCCCATGAAGGTCACAAAGAATCCACTCCCCAAGCCTAGCAGTGTAGGTCTTTGAACCCTTCGAGCTCGTGCCCATACTAGCGTTTTGCAACCGCCGCACGGAAATCAGTTTGGCAGCAAGGTTGGGCACCCAAAGCACGCTTATGAGGCCTACCAGCTTCCCACCAGCACCCTTGAACATGGCCTTCCCCATGCCTTTCACCACTGCTCGCTGCCCCAAAGCCGACGTGACATGGTTCACCGGCGAGGATTCAAGTTCGGCGAGGGTGTCATTCTATACGTAGCTCCGCTATCGATCACCCAACATTCCAGAGAGTGTAGGATGAGATTTTGCACAGCAGCTGGCTTCTCAAAGCCTTCATCAATCTCTGGTGCAGCTGGTGCTTGATTCGAGGCGAAGAAGAATTGGCTTGGGAACCGATCGTCGCTCAAGTCCTTCTCGTAATCACCACCTTTCATGTTTGCAGCTCCACCTCCGCGACCTCCACAGCCTCCACAACCTCTTCCTATCCCTCCACTTGCTCCTCTGCCTGATTGGCCTTGAGTAGGAGTATAACCGTTAGTGAGCTTGAAGCAATAATGCCATTCACGACCGAGTCGGCCGCGCCCACGTCCACAGCTGGTGTTGTCGCTGCTGTCTCCGCCATTTCTGCGGCCTCCATTGAAATTGCTGCTACCAAACTTGCCTCCTCCTTGTCCTCTGCCCCTTCCACGGCCATATTATTGGCAAATTCTTGCCGCCCCTGTGCCACCAGGGCCCGCCAACTCAGGCTCTACGGACTCGTCCGAAGGTGGAGCCGAGAGCGAGTGACCATGGACTGTGGCGAGGAGTACGTGAAGCGGAAGCGCTGAAGGACCTGCTGCACCATGTGTGACTGAGTCAAGGTAATGGTGCGCCGTGCTCTGTCACGGGTGATCTGCAAGAGCTGCGCAGCTCACCCAGGTCTGTGCACGTGTGTCTCTTCTGCAGCTCCGACTTCACAAAGGCCAGTCCCTCAGTGTCAGCAGTGGCAAAGACCAAGTCGTCGACGTATACGAGGATGTAGAACAGCGGCAGCGAAGTGTCGGTGCGTAGAAACAGCGACGGGTCAGCAGTCGAAGGAGCAAACCCAAGAGCCGCAAGAGTCGTCCTCAGTGTGTCGTGCCACTTGCGAGGCGCCTGGTGGAGACCGTAGACTGGCCGCCGAAGGCTCCACTGGGTATTAGCAGGAAACGACCCAGTGAAGCCAGGTGGGCGGCGCAGCCGGATCTCCTCGTGTAGGCTGCCCTGTAATAAGGCTGTGCTGAAGTCAAGAGAGTGAAGCTCGTAGTCACGCTGAGCGGCGACGTGCACCAGCACCCGAAGAGTGGTCATCTTCGGGGTAGGGGAGAAGGTCTGGAAGAAGACAACTCCCTGTCGCTGACTGAAGCCTCGTGCAACGTAACGCGCCTCGAAGACAGGCAGAGAACCCGGCGGTCGCTTCACCCTGAAAATCCACATGCCATCGACTATGTTCGCCCTAGAAGGGGGAACTGCGTCGACGGAAGTGCCCGTGGACTTCCAGGATGCCATCTCTGCGTCCGTGGCTGTCTGCCACTGAGAGGAGTAGGTACCCGTAATCGCCTCTGCGTAAGAGCGCGGGGTCGGGATGTCTGGTGCATCCGGGTCTCCCTCAGGTGCAATCAGCATGGACACGGGATGAGGTACAGCAGCTGCAAAACACTCAAAGTCCTCCTGCCTGTCCTCAAGGACGTCCGTGCCAAGAGCACACTCACCCCCGACGGACGGAGGACAGTCAGACTCAGACACAGCAACAAGACTAGCGGCGTTGTCGAGACGACAGGCAGCAGCAAAGTCAACAAGCTGAGCAACTAGGGCAGACGCAGCAGTGGACTCAAACGAAGGGTCAGTGACAACAGTGGCTAGCAGACGAGTGACAGTAGGACTGGCAGCAAGAGCAAGGTCGGACGCAGGGTCAGGAACGTCAGGAAGAGAGGACGCAGGAGGAGACGGCAGAGGGATACACTGTGGAACAGAGGAAGGACGAAGTGCCATAAGGTGCGTGCCGAGGACAGGAGGAGGACGCTGACGCGGAACTCCACGACCAGTGCGAACAGCGCAAACAGGCGAGGCAGGACGAGACGCAGGCTCACGACGCTCTGTAAGACCTCCTGTCTGCCCAGTGTAAGGAGA